TGCCTTGGAGGGAGGAACGGCAGGAGGAGAATCTTGAAGGGGAGAGGGGGAGGGGGAGGGAGGGCAGGAGTAGGGGGAGCTGCCGGGCCCTTGCAAGCGATTGGGATCAGATGTAGGAAATGAGACGAATCCAACAGATCCAGTCCCTCGCACCTACCTACCTACCTCCTCCTCCTCCTCCTCCTTCCGCCTCCTGTCAGGGATCACTTGGTTGATATCTTTTCCTTCACCCGCACATTCCCTCTCCTCTTCTCAGAGCTGCATGCTCGCCTGTTGGGGGTCTTCGAGTTACTTCAAACGAGATGATTCAAAGCCATGAACGAGTTCTGCTGTCCCTGGTTGATCGCGATCCTCAAACAATCACTGAAAGTTGTTCTGATACACGCTGTTGCTTCTCCTCCACTTCTTCTGCTTCTCCTGTTGCTCTTGCTCCTGCTGCTGCTCCTGCTCCTGCTGCTCCTGCTCCTGCTCCTTGTTTGCTGCTTCTGCTGCTGCTGCTCCTCCTCTCCTTGGCTGATCTTGTTTCCTTGCGTTCCCCACTAATCGCTACAGTATGGGGTGCAGGTTCTGATATGTCATTTTTGAAAACATATTTATAAATATTGTCTTGTTTTTGAATCGTTTGGTGTCACATTGAAACTTAATAGGTTTTAAAGTGAACATTTGATGTACTTGGTTTGAAAGGTAAAACAAACTTTTTGAAAACACAGGCAGTTGAATGCAGCAGTGACGAAGCGAGAGTATGGAGGAGAGAGAGAACGAGAGAGGAGAGGAGAGGAGAGGAGAGAGGAGAGGAGAGGAGGAGAGAGAGAGAGAGAGAGAGAGAGAGAGAGAGAGAGAGAGAGAGAGAGAGAGAGAGAGAGAGAGAGAGAGAGAGAGAGAGAGAGAGAGAGAGAGAGAGAGAGAGAGAGAGAGAGAGAGAGAGAGAGAGAGAGAGAGAGAGAGAGAGAGAGAGAGAGAGAGAGACAGAGAGAGAGAGAGAGAGAGAGAGAGAACGGGTTTGTGTGTGGGGTGGAGAGGAGAGGAGAGGAGAGGAGAGGAGAGGAGAGGAGAGGAGAGGAGAGGAGAGGGGGAGGGGAGGGGAGGGGAGGAGAGAAAATGTTACGAGGCGGCAAGGTCGACCGGGAGTGCGAAGTGAGCTATGATCAACTTGCAGCCGGGCAGCTGGTGAGGGCTGAGATGAAACATGAATGAGGGAGGGGAGAGGAAGGAGTTGTAGGAGGGGATTGATAACTAGAGGGGAACGTCTGCTTCTCTCCCGCTTGCTCATGCTGGTGGCAGGCGAAGCTTTGACACTGATAGCAATGTCCTCGCCGGCGGGAAAGAAGATTCTTTCCTTCTCTTCCCCCGGACACATCTACAAGTCTCAGTATCCTCTGCCCCAGTGCGACCTCTCCTTGGACGTGAAGGCTCGGGCGCTCGAGTGCAAGTGAGGAGGAGGAGGAGGAGGAGGAGGAGGAGGAGGAGGAGGAGGAGGAGGATGAGAGTTTCGCTTGCTGACCCAGGGAGCAGGAAGATTCTGGTGACGAACACCCTCAACGAGCTTCGAGAAATGTCGTCGGGACTGAAGGAGGACGAATGGATGTTTGAACACGATGGAGAGAAGCGAGCTGTGTTGTCAATATGTAAAGGTGTGTGAGGTGGGGAAAATAAGGCATCATTATGTGTTAGGACAATTCTGTTGATATCAATATATACATATTTACATCTTCTTCATCACCTAATTTGACATCATCGCCTTACTTCCTCTAATCTTTTTCTCATCTTCATCTTCATATTGACAACGTTCTCAATCTTCAGGAGCTTCTTCTCTATGTTCTCCTCTTCTTCCAGCACATCTTCGTCATTGATGAAGTTGTCTCTATCATCTTCCTCTTGCGTCTGGCTCATTTTGTCTCTTTCCTCCTTCACGTCTTGCGCCATCGGAGCTTCGCCGAGCTGTGCCTTGCCTTGCTCGAGATTCTGCTCCGGCGGGCTGATCGGGAACAGTCATTCTGACATCTCAACCACAAGACATGTCAATGTTACATGTTCTGTACATCCCTGCCGTGGGGAAAGCAAACGTTGAAGATGTTGTCGACAATCTGCAATTTGACATCAGCATGTAACTTTGAGCGTGAAGAAGACAAGGAAAGTTCTCACCTCTGCAAACATCTTGACTAGATATGACTGCAAGGTTGTCAGAAGAGAAGCAAGATATGACAACTTCTGACATGAAGGCCTTGAAGGAGATTGAAGAGCAACCTTTCATTCCCTGCCACCTTGCCGAACGACTGCAGCCTTGTCACTGAGCATGTTGCAGCAAACACGATCATTGACCGAGAGGATGTCGGCGTCGTAGGACAAGTCTGTTCGATCTTCGGATGCGAGTGCTGGTGCGAAAAAATCATATGAGAAAATGCGCGAAGAAGAAGGGAGGGGACGGGACGGGAGGGGAGGGGAGGGGAAAGGGGAAGAGTAGGATGGAGGAGACAAGTAGACGGGAGGAGGAGGGTAGATACCGGCAGTGAAGGCTTGAAACAGAACCTTTGCGATGATCCTATTCCTTACATGAACAAGAGCAAGAGCAAGATATTCTCTCGTTTACCTCAAGTTGTTCATCGTTACCTTACCTGGCGCTCTGCCGCCAATACCATGCTGGCAGCAAATCAAAGGGCTTGAATTGCCAACAAGATGAAGAAGATGGAGAGAAAAACATCATCAAAGTGATGAAAGCAGCATGTGAGTAATGAAAACAGCATGAACGTGATGAAAATATACGAATGATGATGTAAACATCAAGAATGGGAGCGGAAGAAGACTGGGAGTGAATCATTGCATATAAAACAAAAACGAAGGAGAAGAGGCAGGGGTAGCAGAAGATGGTAGTGTGGAGGAGTGAGAAAACCTTCCAAGGATTGAGGAGAAGGTCGATGAAAAAAATTCTTGTAAAGATGAATTGAGCGATAAGAAACTTGGCCTGTCGTTGGTAAGGAAGGATGGAAGGAGGGAGAAGAAACGAAAAGTAGCAGAAGAAGAGGAGGGAGGAAGAGGAGGAAGAGGAGGGAGAGGAGGAGGAGGAGGAGAAAGGAGGAGGAGGAGAAAGGAGGAGGAGGAGGAGGAGAGAGATCGTTACCTGTCTATCGTTGATCTCCCTGCTTGCTCATTGTCACATATCCC